CACCTCGGCCTCCCAGAGTGCTAGGATTACAGGTGTGAGCCTCTGAGCCTGGCCCTAGCCCTATGATTTTAAAGGAAGAAATTATACCAATTCTCTTCAGTCTCCTCCTAAAAAAAGAGGCAGACAGAACACTTCCTAATCCACATCCTATGAGGCCAGAATTACTATTATACTAACCCGAGATAAAGGCTAGGCGTAGTGGCTCATGCCTGTAATACTAGCACTCTGGGAGGCCGTGGCAGAAGGATCACTCAAGGTCAAGAGTTCTAGACCAGCCTCAGCAAGAGCGAGACCACGTCTCTACTAAAAATAGAAAGAAATTAGCTGGACAACTAAAAACAGAAAAACTTAGCCAGGCATGGCGGCACGTGCCTGTAGTCCCAGCTACTTGGGAGGCTGAGGCAGGAGGATCACTTGAGCCCAGGAGGTTGAGGTTGCTGTGAGCGAGGCTGATGGATGCTGTGGCACTCTAGCCCGGGCAACAGAGCAAGACTGTCTCAAAACAATAACAACATCAACAATAAAAAACACCTGATAAAAATATTACAAAAAATAAAACTACAGACTAAAATGTCTCATGAACATAAATGCAAAAACACTTAATATTAGCAAATTAAATCCAACAATTTAAAAAAGATTTATATACATGGCCAAGAAGGATTTATTCCAAATTTGTAAGACTGGTCTAACATTTGAAAATCAGTTAATATAATCCATCATATTAACAGGCTAAAGAAACATCATGTGATCATATACGTAAATGCAGAAAAAGCATTTGACAAAATCTACTACCCATTCATGATAAAACCTCTCAGCAGACTAGGAATAGAGATTCTTCAACTTAACAAAGAAAGTCTACAAAAAGCCTGCAACTACCATCATACTTACTGGTGAGAAACTGTGATGCTTGTCCTCTAAGACTGGAAATGAGGCAAGGATGTCCCCTCTCACTACTCCTATTCAACATTGTACTGGAAGTCTTAGCTAATGCAATCAGACAAGAAGGGGAAGTAGAAGGTATACAGATTGGGAAGGAAGAAATAAAACTGTCTTTGTTTATAGATGACATGATTGTCTATGTAGAAAATCCTAAACAATAGACAAAAAAATTCCTGAAACTCAGTAATTACAATAAGGGCACAGGATATAAAGTTAATATACAACAACCAATTGCCTTCCTATATACCAGCAATGAACACTTGGAATTTGAAATGAAAAACACAATACCATTTATATCAACACCAAAAAATTAAATGTTTAGACATTAACTATATACATACAGGATCTATATGAGGAAGACTATAAAACTCCAATGAAAGAAATCAAAGAGGTAATTAAATGGAGAGATATTCCATGTTCATAGATAGGAAGACTCAATATTGTTAAATGTCAATTCTGGCCAGGTGTGGTGGCTCATGCCTATAATCTCAGTAATTTGGAAGGCCAAAGCAGGAGGATCACTTGATGCCTCACTTGAACTCTTGAGGAGTTCAAGATCAGCCTGGGCAAAAGAGTGAGATCTTGTTTCTATGAAAAAAAGAAAAGAAAGGCCAGGTGTGTTGGTGGCTCATGCCTGTAATCCTAGCACTCTGGGAGGCCAAGGCGGGTGGATTGCTGAAGGTCAGGAGTTTGAGACCAGCCTGAGCAAGAGAGAGACCCTGTCTCTACTGAAAATAGAAAAAAATTAATAGGAAAGGAAAGGAGAAAGGAAAGGAGAAAGGAAAGGAGAAAGGAAAGGGGAAAGGAAAGGAAAGGAAAGGAAAGGAAAGGAAAGGAAAGGAAAGGAAAGGAAAGGAAAGGAAAGGAAAGGAAAGGAAAGGAAAGGAAAAAGAAATAGCTGAGTGTCGTGTTGGGCACCTAGCTACTTAGGAGGCTGAGGTAGGAGGATTACTTGAGCCTAGGAGTTCAAGGCTGCAGTGGACTATGACTGCATCATTGTACTCCAGTCTGGGTGACAGAGCGAGACCTTGTCTCAAACAAAAACAAAAACAAAACAAAAAAGACACAAACAAAATATGTCAATTCTCCCCTACTTGACTATAGATTCAATGCAATCCCAATCAAACTCCCAGCAAGTTATTTCATGATTATCAAAAAAGACACAAACAAAATATGTCAATTCTCCCCTACTTGACTATAGATTCAATGCAATCCCAATCAAACTCCCAGCAAGTTATTTCATGATTATCAAAAAACTGATTCTAGGCTGGGCACGGTGGCTCATGCCTGTAATCCTAGCACTCTGGGAGGCGAAGGTGGGAGGATCATTTAAGCTCAGGAATTCAAGACCAGCATGAGCAAGAGCAAGACCCTGTCTCTACTAAAAATATAGAAAGAAATGAGCTGGACAACTAAAAGTATGTATATAAAAAATTAGCCAGGCATGGTAGTGCACGCCTGTAATCCCAGCTACTTGGGAGGCTGAGGCAGAAGGATTGCTTGAGCCCAGGAGTTTGAGGTTGCCGTGAGCTAGGCTGACGCCATGGCAGTCTAGCACGGTTAACAGAGTGAGACTCTGTCTCAAAGCAAACAAACAAACAAACAAAAACCTGATTCTATTTTTTTTTTTTAAGACAAAGTCTCGCTTTGTTGCCCAGGCTAGAGTGAGTGTCGTGGCATCAGCCTAGCTCACAGCAACCTCAAACTCCTGGGCTCAAGCAATCCTCCTCCTCAGCCTCCGAGTAGCTGGACTACAGGCATGCGCCATCATGCCTGGCTAATTTTTTCTATATATATTAGGTGGCCAATTAATTTATTTGTATTTATAGTAGAGACGGGGGTCTCGCTCTTGCTCAGGCTGGTTTCGAACTCCTGACCTTGAGCAATCCGCCTGCCTCAGCCTCCCAGAGTGCCTTGGCCTCCCAGAGTGTGATTCTAAAGTTTATATGGAGAGGCAAAAAGACTTACAATAACACAATACTGAAGAAGAACAAGGCTGGAGGACAGATGCTACTCAAATTTTAGGACTTAATATGCAGTAATCATGGCCGGGCGTGGTGGCTCATGCCTGTAATCCAGCACTCTGGGAGGCCAAGGTGGGCGGATTGCTCAAGGTCAGGAGTTCGAAACCAGCCTGAGCAAGACCCTGTCTCTACCAAAAATAGAAAGAAATTAAGTGACATATATACAAAAAATCAGCCGGGCATGGTGGTGCATGCCGGTAGTCCCAGCTACTTGGGAGGCTGAGGCAGGAGGATTGCTTGAGCCTAGGAGTTTGAGGTTGCTGTGAGCTAGGCTGATGCCACGGTACTCACTCTAGCCTGGCAACAATGTTGAGCTCTGTCTCAAAAAAAAAAAAAAAAAAAAAGCAGTAATCAGCACAGTGTTGACAAAAGAATAAATGAATTGATAATAGAGCAGGACAGAGAGCTGTCACAAATACAGTTAATTTGATCTTTGATAAAAGAGCAAAGTCAATTCAGCAGAGGAAGAATAGTCTGTCTGTTCAACATATGGTACTGGAACAACTGGATATCTATATGTAGATATACAACTTGTATTCCTTTCATAAAAATTAACTAAAACCGGATTTTAGAGCTAAATATAAAACTATATAACTTCTAGAAGATAACAGAGAAAATCTAGGTGACCTTGGGTTTGGTGATAAGTTTTCAGATACGATAGCAAAAGCACAAACCAAGAAAGAAAAATTAAGTTGGACGTTATTAAAATTAAATACTTCACAGCTTTGCTGAGGGTTATGAAAGGAAAAACAATTAAATTTAATTGAAAACTTCTGCTCTGTGAAAGACACTATCAAAGGAAAGAAGAGAAAACCAAAGAATATGAGAAAATCTTTGCAAACTTGTATTTAATCAAAAAACTTGTATCCAAAGTACACAAAGAACTCTTAGAATTCAACAATAAGAGAATAAACAACACAATTAAAAAATGGGCAAAGGATCTGAACAGATCCCTCACCAAAGAAGATATACAGATGACAAATAACCATATGAAAAGATGCTCAACATGTCATTAGGGAATGGCAAATTGAAACAACAATAAAATACCATTATACACCTATTAGAATGGCTAAAATCCAAAAACTGACAATACCAAATGCCGGGGAGGATAAGGAACAAGAGGAACACTTACTCATTGCTGGTGGAAATGCAAAATGGAAAACCACTTTGGGAGATGGTTTGGCAGCTTCTTACAAAACTAAACAGTCTTACCATATGAGCCAGCAATCACATTCTTAGGTTATTTACCCAATGGAGTTGAAAACATGTTCACACAAAAATCTGTACACCAATGTTTATAGCAGCTTTATTCATCACCAAAAACTGGGAGCAACCAAGATTTCCCTCAGTTGGTGAATGGATAAACATGCTATGATACATCTAAACAATGGAATATTATTCAGCAATAAAAAATGAGCTATCAAGTCATGAAAAGACATGGAAGAACCTTAAATGCATATTGCTAAGTGGAAGAAGTCAGTCTGAAAAGTCTATATACTGTATAATTCCAACTACATGACATTTTAGAGAAGGCAAAACTACAGAGATAGTGAGAAAATCAGTGGTTGCCAGAGGCTCAGAGGGGAGGGATAAACAGGTGAGGCACAGGGGATTTTTAGAGTGGTGAAACTCTTCTATATGAAACTGAAACGGTGGATACAAGTCATCATGCACCTGTCAAAACCCAAAGAACCTTACAACACAGAGAATGAACCTTAATGCAAACTATGGACTATAATTAATAACAATGTATTGATATTGGTTCATTAATTATAACAAATGTGCTACACTAACACAAGTGTTAATAATAGGGGAAACTGTGAGAAGGGATGAGGGTATGGGGTGGGGTGCATATATGGAACTTTATGTATTATCTGCTCAATTATTCTGTAAATCTAAACCTATACTAACAAAACAAAGTCCATTATTTAAAAAAATAAATCAAAAGCAAACAGACCAAAATAAATAATTTGTTTGGTTCTAATTACAAATACATGCCTTTGTATCATTTGAGTGATTTCAAACAAATTCATTTATGGAAAGTATAAAATTTTTATTGTATTATACTTTGCTATTCTTCTAGACCTTAATGTATAGTCTTAGGTACAGAGCAACAGATTCAGTTTGTAAACAACAAAACATATTTCATTAAAAATCATCCACTAATACTTAAAACTTTCTTTGTACATTGGAGATATTGGGTTAAATTCCTTCTTAGAAATGCTATGTCAACTTTTTCAATTTCTAAAATCTATGTTTTCCAGTGTTTTGGTCTTACAGATTTTACTTAATGGAAGTATCTATAATGCTCTGGGATGTGAACAAATCATTTTATGTCCCCCACCTCCACAAGCGAGTAACAATGCTTTACCTCTAGTCTTTATATTGCTGATTTTTGTTTGAAGTTTATGGGCAAGATTTAGCTCCGTAGACATGGATGGAAATGCAGGTCTGACAAATAACAGCAACATCAGGACTAAAAGTCCCAGGACTACAAACCACTGCAGAGGAAAACACATAGTTGATTATAATTTAGAGGTATTTTATACCTCTATAACATACAGGTATTTTATTCCAATAATATAAATTTGCCTTCGATATCACATCATTTCTATATTATACAGAGTAATGTTCACCTAATTAAGTTGTGGAAAATTATGAGTTTCAAACTTTGTAATTTAATGATCTTAAAGACAGGAGAAAGTCAGAATCCCATTTTTTCCTTTAGTATCAGCATTTTACAGTATCTTCTATAGTGAACCATTTATGAGGTCCTATTTCTAATTTTCTAGTTCCTATTTCCTAGTTCTCTGTTTTCTAGGTAGGACCATCCTGTTTTCCTTCATAGCACAGTAGCTTAAGTCAGAACACTACAGAATGTTTTGTAATACAAGAGAGTACATTAGAAAGAATTAATATATATTAAGATAATTATATTTAGAAATTTAAAGCTTTGAATTTTTACTTCCCTTTAGCTAAATATAATTTTTTGGTAAGAGAATTAGTGTAAAGATTCAATTCAATTATCCTAAGTGAATTACTCATTTATTCTTCTGACTATAAGACCTAAATACTTAGATATTTATATTTTATAATTACCACAACAGCTAGCGCAATTACTGTGTAGACCTTCATTTTTTCCAAAGCCTGGTCTACAGCTATCCAGACGTTCTACTTGAAAACTGTGGTTCACAAAATGCATAGCTGGTAGAGTTTTATTAAAGTTGTGGGAGAAAATATCTGCTTGACTCCGAAAAAATTCTTCTATTCGATTTCTTGCCTAAGATTTAAAAATATCAGAGAGGAATACAATTACTGAACCATAAACCAAATTTCTCCTCCAGTATCAGAGGCAATAAGCACGCCATACTTTATTCAGCAGTTAAATTCCTGAAACGTTGTGTTAATACTAAAATTAGTTTTGCCTTGACCTTATCAACTGCTGTTAATTCATGCAATGGTTAAGAAAAATTAAATTAAGGTTAAAAAACAACTTTTTTTTTTTATTCCTTTTTTTATTTTTTTGAGACAGAGTCTTGCTTTGTTGCCCAGGCTGCCGTGGTATCAGCCTAGCTCACAGCAACCTCAATCTCCTGGGCTCAAGCGATCTTCCTGCCTCAGCCTCCCAAGTAGCTGGGACTACAGGTATGCGCCACCATGCCCGGCTAATTTTTTGTATATATATTTTTAGTTGGTCAATTAATGTCCTTCTATTTTTGGTAGAGATGGGGTCTTGCTCAGGCTGGGTTTGAACTCCTGATCTTGAGCAATCCGCCCACCTCGGCCTCCCAGAGTGCTAGGATTACAGGCATGAGCCACCATGCCTGGCCTAACTTGTTTTGAATTACTTGCAACATGCTTATTCCATATATAGATAACTGGGAGTTCATTATTTCCAATTCCATATGATCATCAAGAAAAAAGAGTCAATCAAAATGGAAAATAAGACTCTCCTTTAATCAGCACTACAAACTAATGATGTAAATTTTATTTTTTTAAGCATAGAATAATTTAATAATAACTAATATTAATATTAAATAAAAAATCATGCTTCTTATAAATCATGCACATTCATGGTGTGGGCTCAGGAACTAGACCAGGGGAGTGAAGGAATTTTTAAGACTCTGTCCTTAGTCTCTTAGGATGGCAGAGGAGAGAGAAATTATTAAGCCTTGCATAGATATAATTTGGGAAGCACCACTGTTTTAGCCTAGGGCGACATGATTGTGAGGTGCTTCTTCAAGCTGCTGTTTAATCATCATTTGGGGAACCAGTGACCCATCCTTCATTATAGATAAAATATATAATATTACCTGGAGAGCTATATAATATTCTAGATACACTATTCCCAAATAACACATCTTGAAACAGCCGAGAATCTTACAATCTCAGTTTAAAAAACTGAAACCAAAAATCAATAATACTTAATCCTAGCACTCTGGGAGGCTGAGGCTGGCAGATTGCTTGAGGTCAGGAGTTCGAAACCAGCCTGAGCAAGACCCCGTCTCTACTAAAAATAGAAAGAAATTAATTGACCAACTAAAAAATATATATACAAAATATTAGCTGGGCATGGTGGAGCATGCCTGTAGTCCCAGCTACTTGGGAGGCTGAGGCAGGAGGATCACTTGAGCCAGGAGATTGAGGTTGCTGTGAGGTAGGCTGACGCCACGGCACTCACTCTAGCCTGGGCAACAAAGTGAGACACTGTCTCAAAAAAAAAAAATCAATAATACTTTAAGTTATTTTAAAAAGAATAATTTACAGCTAGTCCTTAGAAATATTTTTATGGCTGGGTGTGGTGGCTCACACCTATAATCCTAGCATTCTGGGAGGCTGAGGCGGGCGGATCGTTTGAGCTCAGGAGCTCGAGACCAGCCTGAGCAAGAGCGAGACCCTGTCTCTACTACAAATAGAAAGAAATTAATTGACCAACTAAAAATATATATACAAAAAATTAGCTGGGCATGGTGGCACATGCCTGTAGTCCCAGCTACTTGGGAGGCTGAGGCAGGAGGATCGCTTGAGCCCAGGAGATTGAGGTTGCTGTGAGCTAGGCTGATGGCATGGCACTCACTCTAGGCTGGGTAACAAAATGAGACTCTGTCTCAAAAAATAAATAAATAAATAAAAATAGAAAGAAATTAGCTATACAACTAAAAGAATATATAGAAAAAATTAGCTGGGCACAGTGTCGCATGTCTGTAGTCCCAGCTACTCAGGAGGCTGAGGCAGGAGGATTGCTTGAGCCCAGGAGTCTGAGGTTGCTGTGAGCTAGGCTGATGCCAGGGCACTCTAGCCCGTGCAACAGAGTGAGACTCTGTCTCAAAAAAAAAAAAAAAAAAGAAATGTTTTTATTATTTATAAATACTCACAACATGGAGAAATAGATTTTTTTTTTTTTGAGATAGAGTCTCACTTTGTTGCCCAGGCTAGAGTGAGTGCCATAGTGTCAGCCTAGCTCACAGCAACCTCAAACTCCTTGGCTCAAGCAATCCTCCTGCCTCAGCCTCCCCAGTAGCTGGGACTACAGGCATGTGCCACATACTCGGCTAATTTTATTTTTTTCTCTATATATTAGTTGGCCAATTAATTTCTATTTATAGTAGAGACGGGGGTCTCGCTCTAGCTCAGGCTGGTTTCGAACTCCTGACCTCGAGCAATCCACCCGCCTCGGCCTCCCAGAGTGCTAGGATTACAGGCGTGAGCCACTGCGCCCGGCCGAAAGAGATTTTTGAAGAAACTTTTTAATAATAAAATGATTTCTAAAATTTTCTAAATAGCTTTATTGACTACCCAAATACTTCCTCCTTACAATAAAATTCTCACCTGGAGGACATTATTATTAGTGATATCTTCACAGTCAACAGATTGATTGCATGTACCTCTCCACCCTGGAGCAAAAGGATTAACTAGAGTGGAAAAAATAATAAGTTCACAAAAGGATTCTAAAAAGTTCCAAACATTTCAATAAAGCTCCAAATGCTGAGTGCAGTATGTATGCAAGCATGCATTTAATCCAGCTATCTAATCCTCGTAATAAAGTAAGGTACATGATTTGAATAATTTATATATTATGATTTCACTCCATCTGGGGGCTAATGTAAGTAACTACAAGGCTTTAAAATAAATAAATTTGGTTTGGTTACTCTTTTTTATTAAGTTCTCAAAAACACAATTTAAAATTCTATAAGAAATTATAAGTGAAATATTAGCTCCATAGTTAAAAGTTATATTAATAAAATGATAATATATCATATTTGAAAGTAAATAATTAGTGTGTTAATTTTCAAAACCATAACTAGGCTATGACCAACTATATACTTTAGTGCTTAACAAACATTTAAGACCTATTATTTATAAGATATATCATATTAATATGGTAATTAATTTTGTAATCTATCATGGTTCAGGACTAAATTTATAAAATTAAAGAAATGTTAAAAAAATTTTTTACCTTGAAAGGCTATAAATAGCTCATGTATGAGGCCACGTTCTGGAATTTCAACAGAATGGCATTTATATGATGGTTCTATGACATGGCATGACAAATCAGACATTAGATTATCCAAGATTTTCTTCAGCACTCTAAAGAGAAGGTCATTATATCTTCCTAGACAAGACTTTGTGGTAAAACGAACAGCCATCTGATAAGAATAATCAGGTTCCCGATAGGCTTTAAAAAAATGAGGACAAAATCAATTGTGTCTAGCAATAATTTCCTCTACCAAACAACTTTCAAATAACATGTAATACTAAATCCCATCAATCTTGCAAATCAGCACAGAAACTTTTACTTACCTAATAAAATGTCTTATTAGTCTGTCCTCACAAAAATATACAAAACTAATAACTTTAATGAAAAGTGTTATTTGCATCTGATAAGATTATCTACTTAGTACAAGAGGTGAAATGGCTTCTGTAGGTTGGCTATATAGATAAGTTAACAGTATCAAGAAAAAAAATAGGACTTTTTGGAGAGGGACTTAATTTGCAGAAAGTGTCATTTCTGTCAGCACAGTCCTGTGAAAGTATCATTAATATGCCTTTATAGAATTAAACATCAATTTTTAAAATTTCAGAATATTATGTGGGTATGAAAATTTTGGTTATATATAATGCCTTTGCCTCACCCAAGCCAGGGCTTTACAAGCTTGTCCTTCCCCCATACAGTACACACCACATCCATTAGTTGTGAGTTTATCCACCCCCCTCCCAACTCACTGGCACCCAAATATTACTTCCATGTGAGCACCTTAGTATTGATCAGTTAGTACCAATTTGATGGTGAGTACATGTGGTGCTTGTTTTTCCATTCTTGTGATACCTCACTTTGGAGGATGGGCTCGAGCTCTATCCAGGATAATATAAGAGGTGCTAGTTCACTATTGTTTTTTGTAGTTGAGTGGTAGTCCATGGTATACATGTGCCACATTTTATTAATCCATTCATTTATTGATGAGCACTTGGGTTGTTTCCACATCTTTGCAATTGCGAATTGTGCTGCCATAAACATTCCAGTGCAGATGTCTTTATTATAGAATGTCTTTTTTTCCTTTGGGTAGATGCCTAGTAGTAGGATTGCTGGTTCAAATGGTATTTCTATTTTTAGGTCTTTGAGACAGCTCCAAATTACTTTCCACAGGGGTTGTACTAATTTGCAGTCCCACCAGCAGTGTAAGAGTGTTCCTATCTCTCCACATCCACGCCAGCGTTTGTTGCTTTGGGACCTTTTGATAAAGGTCATTCTCATTGGAGTAAAGTGATATCTCATTGTGGTTTTGATTTGCATTTCCCTAATGATTAGAGATGTTGAGCACTTTTTTATGTGTTTGCTGGCCATTATTCTGTCTTCTTTTGAAAAGTTTCGGTTCATGTTTTTTGTCCACTTTTTGATGGGGCTGTTAGATTTTTTCTTGTTAATCCTCATATTGTCATCTAATCTTTGACCAAGCAGACAAAAATAAACACTGGGGAAAAGAATCCCTATTCAATAAATGGTGCTGGGAAAAATGGATAACCACATAGAGAAAATTGAAACTGGATCTCCACCTCTCACAAAAATCAACTCACAAAGGATAACAGACTTAAACCTAAGGTGTGAAACCTTAAGAATTCTAGAAGAAAATGTTGGGAAAACTCCTATAGATATCAGCTTAGGCAAACAATTTATGAAGAATACCCCCAAAGCAATCACAGCAGCAACAAGAATAAATAATTGGAACTCGATCAAATTAAAAAGCTCTGTATAGCCAAAGAAACTATCATCAGAGTGAATAGACAACCTACAGAATGGGAGAAAATATTTGCATGCTCCACATCCGATAAAGAGCTGATAACAAGAATCTATATAGAACTTAAGAAGATAAACATCAGTTTTTAAATTACCTGCCAAATTGTGATAAAGTAGACTGTGCTTAGATATCTAGACAGTGGGAAATGGTGAAACAGTTGCCTATAACAGATTCATTTTCTTTTTTTTTTTTTTTTTTGAGACAGAGTCTCACTTTGTTGCCCAGGCTAGAGTGAGTGCCATGGCGTCAGCCTAGCTCACAGCAACCTCAAACTCCTGGGCTCGAGCGATCCTTCTGCCTCAGCCTCCCGAGTAGCTGGGACTACAGGCATGCGCCACCATGCCCGGCTAATTTTTTTTTTTTTATATATATATATCAGTTGGCCAATTAATTTCTTTCTATTTATAGTAGAGACGGGGTCTCGCTCTTGCTCAGGCTGGTTTTGAACTCCTGACCTTGAGCAATCCGCCCGCCTCGGCCTCCCAAGAGCTAGGATTACAGGCGTGAGCCACCGCGCCCGGCCTAACAGATTCATTTTCACTAAATGAAGAAACCATATACTAAATTCTGATCCAAACTAAAAATCTAAGTTAACATGTGCCTAAATCCTTGGCCAGGTGTTGTGGCTTGTGCTTATAATGCCAGCACTTTGGGAGGCCAAGGCAGGAGGATTATTTGAGGATAGGAGTTTGAGACCAGCCTGGGCAACATAGCAAGACTATGTCTCTACCAACAACAAAAAAAAGTTAAAAAAAGTTAAGTGAGCGTGGTGGTGAGCACCTGTAGTCCTAGCCATCTGGGAGGCTGAGGAAGGATAATCCCTTGAGATCAAGAATTGGAGATTAAGGTGAGCTATGATCGTCCCACTGCACTCCAGCCTAGGTGACAGAGCAAGACCCTGTCTCTTAAAAAAACAAACAAAAAAAGAACTTAAATTCTTACCAAAGATCATAAAGTCATATCTCTTTTTCACTGATGTTTCTTCTTGGGTTTCTGCTTTGACAGTTTTGTAAGAAAAAGTACATGTGTAAAGTCCAGACAAAGGCTCCACAAAATCTTTCACTATCAGCTCTCCTGTTTTAGTTATATTTATTCGTTGATTTTCTAAACAGAAATAGTAAATTACTTGGCTATTTAACATACAACAATTCAAACATTATTAATAAATACTTATAAAAGTTTTAAAAAATTAACAAACTATCTCAATCTCAAAAATCTAGCAAAGGCTGAGTGTAGTGGCTCACGCCTGTAATCCTAGCACTCTGGGAAGCCAAGGCGGGAAGATCGCTCAAGGTCAGGAGTTTGAGACCAGTCTGAGCAAGAGTGAGACCCTTTCTCTACTAAAAATAGAAAGAAATTAGCTGGACAACTAAAAATATTAGAAAAAATTAGCCGAGCATGGTGGCCCATGCCTGTAGTCCCAGCTACCCAAGAGGCTGAGGCAGTAGTATTGCTTGAGCCCAGGAGTTTGAGGTTGCTGTGAGCTAGGCTGACACCACAGCACTCTATTCAGGGCAATAGAGCGAGACTGGCTCAAAAAAAAAAAAAAAATCTAGCAAAATCTTAACTGTCACATTACTCTATGGAAAACCACATGAGATTTGTAGAGACCAGGTCTCACTATTGCCCAGGCTGGTCTTGAACTCTTGGCCTCAAGCAATCCTCCCACCTTGGCCTCCCAAAGTGCTAGGATTACAGGCTGAGCTTGGCCAAATTTTAGATTTTATAAAGACTTATGAATTAATACAGTTCTGGGAAGTAGGGCACAAAAATTAGTGCTTTAGTTTTTGCATAAGGAGAAAATAAGTCATAGACCAAGATATAACATGATTTGCCTAAGCATGGAGCAAGTGAAACAGCCATTAAAATTAAATCTCACAGCCTGAGCTACATAGCTAGACCCTGTTTCTACAAAAAATAGAAAAAGTAGCCTGGTATGGTAGCGCATACTTGTAGTCTCATCTACTCAAGAGGCTGAGGCAGGAGGATCAATTGAGCCCAGGAGTTTGAAGTTGTGAGTTATGATGATGCCATTGCACTCTAGCCTAAGCAACAGAGCAAGACCATGTCTCAAAAAAAATAAAAAATAAAAATAAATTTCAATTTGTTCTTTCCAATAAATGATTGTGTTTTTCTAAAAAAATGTTCACATCATTAAAAAAGGACATATTAAAATCAAATTTACCTGTTAATGTATTTTCATTAGGCCCAATCCAAATGTAGGTGGGGTCCACTATTTCTTTCTTAGCATGTTTAACATCCATACAGATAAGGACTGGGGTATCTTGATGTAATTTCACATATATTTTCACTGTGACAAAAAAACATAATGTGTAACTATATTACATAGCAGAATTAAATTAAGAAATACACTCTTACCATTTTGTTTCAAAGATACTAATTAGTTCTTTTTGGATTTCACTATTTTAAAAATCGATATATTATTATAACCTGTTGAATGCTAGTCTGAAGTCCTTTTTGCTTCCCATGGTAAGTTTTAAAAACTTGAGACTGTTAGACAGTCACGATATTTTTACTTTTTCTGTTATATAGCTTTGTTTAGAAGTTCATTTTAATGTACAGATTCAGAACTCACTTAGATCATAACATTTTTGGAAGGGTTAGTAGAATAAGTTTAAAGTTGATAGTGGTAATCCCTAAGGGAAACTTGTTATTTAACTGTAAATTTCCTCTGTTAGGAACAATAATTAAGTCTGTATGGGCATACTAGGAAGATGTTTTGCAATTACCTATTGTTTCAGATTTGGTATGCTTGGAACCACTGCAGTCCCACAAGACACAAATTGTAAAGCCTACTGAATGCCAGGCTCTGAATACATAAAGATACCTTCCTACAATTTGGTTGGGGGATGGAGAGGGGAGAGTATCCAAACAATACGGGATTCCAAACATGACAAATGCTATGAACTGGCTCAAAGTTATCTCAAGTTAGCTATATGACTATTTTCCTTGGGCAGTATGGGAAAATTTCACCTCAGTGATAAATGAACATCTGAACCGAGCTTTATAAAGGATGTGTAGGAGTTATAGTTTATAAGGGGAGGGATAAGGCTGTTCCAAACACTGGGACTTTCTGCCTTGAAATCGCTCCGCTGAGTGGGCCTCGCATGTTGCTAAGCGGCAAAGACACCTGGAAGTGAAGTGGCATCAGAGAAGGCGGTCTGGATTGAATCCTAGCTCCTTATGAGCTGAGTGCCTTTAGGCAAGGTCTTACAACTAGGGTCGTTGTAATGAAAAGATGCAATGACCTTCGCAAACTGCAAAGCCCACGGTAGATGCTCAATAAACGTTTGTACTCTTCCTTTCCCTCCGTGGGAAGAACCTTAGCAGGCCCACTGCACCTCCGGCTCTTCTGACAGGCCCTGCGCATGAAGAGGTCCTTATTACCTGGGTGTCCTCGCAGGCCATACACGAAGTCTTTCTTATGGAATAAGGAGGAACGCTGCCATCCAACTGCGGAGGAAAGAAACCACTGACTTTTTAGTTAGAAGAGGAGCCAGGGCTCAGAGTGGGGCGGAGCGGGGAGAAGGGAAGGAGGCAGGACAGGGAACCTTGTACTGGGGGAGAGGCCTGGGGACCGGGCGGGAGGAGCCCCACCTACTGCGAGGCAGCAGAGCACCGCGGAGAAGAGGACCCACGCTCGCATCACGGCTATTTAGCGTCGCGGAAGGCGTCGAGGGATGGGCTCCTTCCTACCTCAACCCGAGCCCAACGCCTCCGCATCTCTCCTTCACAGAGCGGAGCAAACCGCCCAGGCCGACTTCCCTACCCGTCGGTAGCTACCGCGGGAGCGGACAGGCCGGAGAGCGCGTGCGCGGGCGCGGGGCGAGTGCGCGGGAGGCAAGCGCCCCGCCCCCTCTCGCCCACGCGGGCGTCGTCCCGTAGACGCTTCGCGCCTGGAGTGTGGCGCCTTTTCCCCCCAGCATTCGCGGTGACTTAGTTCTCTAAGCGGCGCCCAAGGGAAGAAGAGAGTAAAGGAAAAGAACCCACAGCTTTGCGTTCTGGGGACTCCCTTAGTTTAAGGGCTGAAAAGCCTGACGAGAGAACATGATGTGTCACAAGAATCGTGGTGGGGTCAGGCGGCTAGGTCACGCGATCACATTGGGACCTGAGAAAGGGAGAAGCTGGTGAGAATTTCCTCCCTACGTGAAGCATAGAGCCCCGCGTGGGAATTTCCTATGCCTTTCTTCTCATGAACTGTGAAACCGTGTGCCCAGTCTCTTTCAAACTCTGACACGCTACTGCAGTCTACCCACGAAACCAAGACTAGGAAGACCCACCAGTGCGCCAACAAGAAGCTTCCAGGCCTCTGCGCTTTAGAGGAACATTAAATCTTCATTTCCAATTTCAAGTATGAGACGATGTGGAAAGAACCCCAATGCAAATTTATCTGGGCTCCTGAAGTAACCTTACTTTATAAAAATGGTCCCAATCAAAAGGCAAAAGCCCAAGATCTGCTGTTCCTGTGGGGATGGGTGATGATTCAAGATCAGAGAGCTCCAAATGAGGTCATTTTTGCGGCTTTCATGGCTCCTTTTTGGCTACTCCTTTGGTGGCCTGAAAGGCCCTATGAGTTGTCTATTTCTTAGCAGCGAGACACTACCCTCAGTAGTGGTTTTGAGTAGGCTGGTAAGTAGAGAGCCCAAGGTTCAGACAGGGTGCAGAATGGTTATTTTGGTGAGATCAAGAGTTTTCAGTTTTATTTCCTTTGAGCCGAGTCAGTACTTGGGCTATCTCAGATGGTCCAGGAGCAACCTTTGTCAGTAATTTCATTTTTAGTCACTGTTAATTTTACCTATATATCATATGCCATGAAATGTGATTCAGTGAGTCAAACCCACCCATTGTCAGTTATCATGTCTAGATTCATGGTTTAATCTTAACTGTTCCCTTTTTAAGGTGATGATAATGAAGACAAATTTAGGCATTATCTTTTGTTCCCTACCAAGTTTATCATTGCAGTTTTAGTCAAAGTATATTATAAATCCAGTGTGTTTTATTGGCTTCCCAGTTATAAGTAATTGATCCTTATAAATCCTATGTGGTAAACTTCAAAGCCTAACAGGGGAGACATAACTAAATGAGTAGTAGTCTGTTGAAAGTATCCATCCACTCTTTTTAAGTCAACTTTTTATTTTAGAAAAGTTTTAGATTTACAGAAAAACTGCAAAGATAATACAGAGTTCTCGTGTACCTCCCCCCGCCCGGAATTCCCTATTATTGTCATCTTACATTGGTATGGTTCACTTCTTGCAATGCATAAACCAGTATTGATACATTACTATTAACTAAAGTCCTTTGTTAAGATTTCCTTAAGATGTAGTATCCTTTTTCCGCTCCAGGATCCCATCTGGGATCACATTATATTTAGTTGTCATGTCTCCTTAGAGTTCTTTTGACTGTGTCAGTTTCTCAGACTTTTCTTGTTTTTGAGACCTTGACCTGGCCTTCATTGGTCAGGTATTTTGTAAAATGCCTCTCTACAGGAATTTGATGTGTTCTCGTTATTTGACTACGGTTTTGGGTTTTCGAGAGGAAGACCACAGAGGTAAAGTGGCATTCTCATCACATTATATCAAGGGTACATATTATCCACATGCCTTATCACTGTTGATGTTAACCTTGGTCACCTGGCTGAGGTAGTGTGTTTGCCAGGCTTCTCAACTGTAAACTTACTCGCCCCCTCCTTCATATCGTACTCTTTGGAAGGAAGTCACTATGTGCAGTGCACACTTAGAGTGAGGATTTATGCTCCACCTCGTTGAGGGTGGAGTAGCTACATAAATTATTTTACCCATCCACTTTTTATCTATCCCCTTAGGTATCACTCTCTGGGGTCTGAAATACTCAGTAGTGAACTATGTACAGAGTAATAACATGTTCCGCTGTTAAGCATAAAGAACATTGTAATGGAAGATAATAAATGTTCTTCACAACTTTTTAATAACCAAATAACCATGCATCCTCACACCATCCCTGTGAAATTTTACAGTTCCTCTTCTGCTACTTTTGATGTGCTATTTTTGCTTTTAGAAACTAACAAACAACAAATTTCCCCTTTCATAGCTAAAATTAGACCTACTGTTTAGAGTATTTTCTCCAAAATTGATATCCTGCAGGACTCCAATTCATACAGCTATTGAAGATGATACTGTGGTGTTATGATTTCAATGCCGATGCCAGTTATTTACTCATTTAAATGTATATATACATATTACATAGACTGCCTATACAAGGTACTATTTTAAATAAACTAAAATTCATAAAATTACAGCATGCATACTTTAACTCCTAAGTGTGGGTTTCTTCTGATATGGTCAGCTGATCCACAAACCCTTAACCTTATGTCAAAAATATATTTGTATACACAGGTAATTTTCTAACAAGAGTGACAATGGCCTTTTTGACAATCATTCTTATATTTTCCACTTCAACATACTGGTTCTCTTTAAAAGGACTCACCTAAGCCAGGACTGGTGGCACGTACCTGTAGTCCCAGCACTTTGGAAGGCCAAGGCGGGAGGATTGCTTGAGCCCAGGAGTTTGGGGCTGCAATGAGCTATGATCAGGCCTCTGCATTCCAGCCCGGGTGACAGAGTGAGAGAGATCCTGTCTCTTAAAAGAAAAAAAAAAGAAAGAAAAGAAAAGACTCACTTGAAAAATGTCCCTTAGACCTCAGTGTGAAGAAAAATTCTGCTTTGAAAAACTGTTTTGTGGTCACTTCCACTTTCCTATCCCTACAGTCAAATGTGTGCTTTACCTCTATAAAGTGGAGAAGATGTTGGTAAAAGATGTTGACTGGTACATCTCCGTGTACTGACACTTTTAAGTTTTACTATCTTACCACACCTACCCTTTAGCTCTACTTTTTAAACTTGCTTTTCTGATATATAATAAATGCATTTTTATAAGCTGTCCAATTTGGAAGAATGCAGTGTAGTAGAAAAATACATGCTGTTAAACACTCTGTATACAGGGATTAGTATTTTGTGAGTGGTGGCAAATAAACCAAGTAGTTCCCAGAGAGAACTACTCTCTGGGAGAGTGGCAAATAAACCAAGTAGTTCCCAGAGAGAAAACAAAAGTGAGAGAATTGCTTCTAAAAATTAAAAAGTTGAGTTGATAGAAGTGCCTTTTGAACTTTCTGAAGTTCCAAATTGGACCAAAAACTTTTATCATGTGAAATGAAAAACCGAGGAAGGGAAAAGAAAACGAATAAGACTTCGAATAAAGTGAGTTCTCATTGATGGTTTTCATGCTTATCATCCCCAAATCTAGACAAAAAGTTCCTCATCTTTGAAGCTGAGCTTGCCAAGACAGCAATGCAGACTGCCTCCCTCCCCCACACCCCCGCCGCCAGCACACACACACACACACACACACACACACACAAAATGTGATATTACTCTCTTATTCATTATCCTGTTGAAATAGACATTTTGGAACAATTTACTGATGCGCCGTTTCCATCGGGGTTCCTGACATTCAAAAGGTGGCTGGAGGCGCGCAACTTGCGGCGCTCCGCTGTGAGCGTCCTTTAAAGCCGCCGCCAGCCAGCGCCGCTGTAACCCCGCGCACCGGCAGGTCGCCGGCTCCTGCCCCTTTCTTTCAATCTGCGCCGACGCGGCGGCCGGATCCCGGGGACTCCCCGCGCCAGGAATCTCCCGCCAGCTGCGCGCCGCGTCCCGGCGACGGCAGGAGCACGTGGAGCGGCCGAGTAGCCACAGTGGCAGCTCCAGCCCAGCCCGGCGGCGACATGGAAGGTGAGCCTCCTGCCCGCTTCTTTTCTAAGGGGTCTTTGAGAAGCTCGACCGATGTACGCAGCAGAAAGAGTTTCTTCTGAATCTCGGTTTTGCTTCTATTTATTTCTTTTGTCAAGAGTAAATAGGTATTTCAGAGGGAAAAGCGTGTCATACAGCCCTCATTTGCTGTCCCCCCCCCCGCCCTTTGTAAAGTGATAACTTCTCCACAATTTTATTTCTTGGGGATTGTCAGGCATGAGGGGTCAACCCTAAATCTGCAGAGGAAGAGAACTTAGGGGCATCCCTGAAATAGCAGCATACCTGGGGTGAAATAACTAATCTTTTGGATGGTTTTTAAAATTTGGTCCATGCCCTCAGTGTCCATTGGAATTAGGCTAATCAGAGTGACTGTTTTGAATGAAAGGTGACTACTTTTTTCTTCTAAGAGTAAATGTTGTCATATGGGAAAGGTAAACTTTAAAGTGGTTGGGACTTGCAGTTCCCTTGGAACTCCATCTAATAATGAGCCTTCTTTACCAAAGGTAAAAATCAGGGACACATTTAAGAGTTTTATTTGAATTAATTTTGAAAGTCATAAAACTATCCTTGCTTCTCAAATATTTTCAGTATGTACTTCCTTGGGATAACTAAAATTCCACCATGCGATTGTAAACTTGGATAGTATCCTCAACAAGTGTGCCTAAAACCTTGAAAATGGCAGATGTGTCATAAACTTAGGGGTTGTGGTGTTATTTAGAAAAATCAGAATTTGTGAAACATTTGTTCTATTTCAAAATGAGATACTGACACCTAACTAATTACCATGCTAATTATGATAAATATTGTGAAGATTGTGGATATAATAATCTCTTCATAATAATTGAAGGATCTCTCATTGACAATGAGCCTTCATCTTTGGCAGCTTTAGTTCTAGAGTATATGAAATTATTAAATATTATGAAAAACTCACTATGGTTTAATTTTTTTGAATTATCAGGGTTTTTAAAAACTTAAAAATTTTGCACTTGGAACATTTAAATAATGGTTTATGAAGTGTAATTTTTAACACGTAAAGTTTTCATTG